ATAAGTGAGGGAGGAAAAAAACTCCCTTGAAGGATAATTCTAATAATTTAATCAGATACTTCACCTTCAAAAAAATGGAAAAGCCAGGCACGGTGGTGCATACACGTAATCCCAGCAGCTTGGGAGGAGGTAGGAGGGTCGTAAGTTCAAAACCAGCCTCATCAACTTAGGGAGGCCCTAAGCAACTCAGCAAGACCCTGTCTAAATAAAAAAGGGCTGGGGATGTGGCTCAAGTGGTAGCGCGCTCTCCTAGCATGCGTAAGGCACTGGGTTCGATTCTCAGCACCATGTAAAAATAAAATAAAGATATTATATCCACCTAAAACTAAAAATAAATATTAAAAAAGGGGGGCTGGGGATGTGGCTTAGTGATTGAGTACCCCTGGGTTCAATCCCTAGTACCAAATAAATAAATAGATGAAATATAACTGGACACAGTAACTACTTTCCCAAGAGTTAAGAATGGAAGGAGTAACTTCATAGTGGAGAAACCTGACAAACTACCTCAGTCTGTAATTCCAGCTACTATGGAGGCAGGAAGATGGCAAGTTCAAAGTTTGAGGGCAGCCCAGTACCCCCCCACCCCCCCCCACAAACACATGGCTTCAGTTTATGCACAGATTAAAATTAATGTGCAGAATTCTTATTTTCAGTGAGATCTGTGTTTATTTATTTAGACACTGGAGATTGAACCCAGGGTTATTCTTCCTCTGAGCCACAACCCCAGTCCTTTTATTTTTCGAGACAGGTTCTCACTAAATTACTGAATGGCCTTGCAGAGTCACTGAGACTGGTCTCAAACTCGTAATCCTCCTTTCTCCTGAGATTAAACATTTTTTTAAAAATAAGATTGTTGGGCTGGGGATGTGGCTCAAGTGGTAGCGCGCTTGCCTGGCATGCGTGCGGCCCGGGCCCAGGTTCAATCCTCAGCACCACGTACAAAGAAAGATGTTGTGTCTGCCAAAAACTAAAAACAAAAAATAAATATTAAAAAAAAAATTCTCTCTCTCTCTTAAAAAAATTAATAATAAGATTGCTACCTGATTCACAGCCTCTTGTGAAAAAAGAGTTTCCAGCAGAGAATTATCAATTTTCCTGTATCTTACACTTGTGTCAGATGGCGGTTCCACTTAATCACTATGTTATAAACCTTCCCCAAGCCTCTATGAACCAAGTGCTTTTGCCAGGGGATAGACGACTTTGAATCTTCAGTTCCAAGAGCATAGCCTTAAAGGGCCCCGTCTGATCAAATTTGCCAAACATACCTTCTTAAATTCAACCTTCAAAGAAAGTCCCATCCTACTTCTTTTTTTTTTTCTCCTTGAGCATTTTTTTACCCAAAAGACAACTACTGTTTTTGTCTGTATGTGAAACTGCCCCATTATCTTAAATGACAAATATTTATAGATAGCCGTGGTCATGCAGAAACGTGTTCATAATGTCTCTTAGAAAACTATAGCTTTTCATTATATCCTAATAGGCTTGTTTGAAGTTGGATACAGAGAACAAATTGCTGCATTATAATTATAGACTCCTTGTTCCAAGTATAAGAGACTTTGATGGTTTGTGATGATAATTTTGTGTATCTATGATTCACAGCAAGACATTTTCCAAAATACCCAGTGTTGTTGTGTAGATTTTCACACTTTCACAGACATAATGTGCAAAGTACAAGTCATTAGTTATTAATCCCAGCTAGTGATGCACGTACCACATTTCACTAAATTCCTTGGGTCATAGGGACAGAACAGATGAACATCTAAGCCTTGGCCCACACCTCATGTTGACTGACATTTTGCTGAACCCACAATAATCCAAGAAGGACTTTCAGGCAAGTACTAGAGAACCTACTAGAAAACTACATAATAATTTTTAAAAAATAAATAAAAGCTGTGTTTTAGAAAAGGAGGAATATGACTATGATGTAATGTACACCTTGAACTTAACTGGCCCAGAAGCCCACCAAAAAGATAAGGGGCAAATCAAATTTTTGCAAAGAAGGAATAGGAAGACCAGGCTTTTATTTATAGTGACCATTTCAGCATATTTTGTAAAATTATCCAGGGCTACCCTAATTATCTACTCTAATATTTTTAATTTTCTTCCCCTGATGTTGTGTTTTTAGTTTGGTCACCTCTGCTTAACCACAGTGCCCTTCTGCCCCAGAAAAGAAGGGAGAGGTGAAAGGGCAAACCATCACTGTTCATAAACATTCTTCAGCTAAACGTTGAAGCAGCCCTTCCCTGATAGCATTTTTTTATTTTTATTTATTTATTTTTTTTTTTAGAGAGAGAGAGAGAGAATTTTTAGTATTTATTTTTTAGTTTTCGGCGAACACAACATCTTTGTATGTGGTGCTGAGGTTCGAACCCGGGCCGCACGCATGCCGGGTGAGCACGCTACCACTTGAGCCACATCTTCAGCCCAAAAAACTTTCTTTCTTTATTATTTTTTTTTAAATTTTTTGTAGTGCTGGGGATTGAACCCAGGGCCTTGTGCTGCAGGCAAGCACTCTACCAACTGAGCCAAATCCCCAGCCTGATAGCATTTTTTAAATGCAAACATTTAACTTGCCCAAGTCTGCAAGAGCCTTGCCTAAGTCTGCAAGAGCTTTGCCTAAGTGTCTTCTCCCATTTGCCAACTCTGGCCCCCTGGAGAAAAATGCAGAATTAACAACACTCCAAGTGACTGATGTACCTCACCACTAAAATATCATGGGACCAAATCCTCAATCCAGTTCAGTTCATGGGCATTTCTTGAGACCAACTGGCTGACTGCATGTAATGGTGTAAGTCACAGGGGAAAGCAAACTCCTGAAGCAAGAGTTGTCCAAATGCAAAATAGGAAAAGGGATGTGTCCTTCCAGGCATTTCATTATCCACAGGTGAGGGAGACATGGTCCGCACCACCTGTTTGGCCTTCATTCCCATGAAGGCAAAGGTCAGATAAAGACTGTCATCTCAGTTAAATAAAATATCATATTGATTCTTAACTACTGAGGTCAAAGCTAAGAGCAATGACTACTTTGGCAAATCCGGCTCTGTTCCCTGGCTGAATTTGAGCCACATCAAGTTTAATCTCTAAATTTAGCCTCAATCCAGCAGTTGCTCAAATTAGTTCAGTTCTCAAAATGACCTAAGAGGTCATTTCACAACCAGAATGGGCCCAAACCTTCAGGCTCATTTATAAGACACTTCCTGTGTGCCAGGCCCTAAACAGCACACCATCACATTTTGGGTACCAGGGATTGAACTCAGGGATGCTAACCACTGAGCCACATCCCCAGTTCATTGTTTTTTTAGACACAGTCTTACTAAGTTACTTAGGGATTCACTAAGTTGCTGAGGCTGCTTTGAACTTGACATCATCATATTTAACCTCCCAACAATTCTAAGAAGCGCAACGGTCCACCTTCTTCAGATATAGAGACCATGTTCCATGAGGGCAAGGTCACAAAGCTGGAAGTGGTGGGAAGAACTGAATCACATCTATCCAACTCAAAGCTGATGATCTTTAACTCCTTTTAGCTGTGTTGAACCAGGGTTGAAAACTTTGATGGACATCCTTATGTTTTTGTTTTATAAATTCCATTTTAATACCTAGTGTGTACTATATGTTGTGTTCAGGTTTTTGTTATTATTTATTTATTTATTTTTGGTACCAGGGACTAAACTCAGGGTCACTCAACCACTGAGCCACATCCCTAGCTCTATTTTGTATTTTATTTAGAGACCAGGTCTCACCAAGTTGCTTAGTGCTTCAGTTTTTGCTGAGGCTGGCTTTGAACTCACCATTCTCTTGTCCCATCCTCCCCAGCTGCTAGGATTACAGGTGTGCACCTGTAATGTAATTCTTTAAAAACATGTTAAAATTATACTTTTGATTGGATAGCTGTTAAGTTTTCCTCAGCTTCTAAGGATAACACTTGGATACCATGATGAAATGTGTTTAGAGCTGATGGTAAATTTCTTACTCTGGGACTACTGCCCTAGAGATATTCTTTGTTCATATAATAATTTCAGATACCAGAACTGCCAAGAATATTTTAATGTGAGAATGACAATGGTAGCCAGGCTCAGTGGCACATGCCTGTAATCCTAGCAGCTCAGGAGGCTGAGACAGGAGGATCTTGAGTTCAAAGCCAGCCTTAGTAAAAGTAAGGTGCTAAGCAACTCAGTGAGACCCTGTCTCTATTAAAATATAAAGTAAGGCTGGGGGTGTGGCTCAGTGGCCAAGTGCCCCTGAGTTTAATCCCTAGTACAAAAAAAAAAAAAAAAAAAAACAATTGACAGTGGTGAGGGGGAAATGCACATAACCAAGAGATTAACCTCTGATTCAGTTTTTCTCAGCTTTTTCCCAGAAGAAATCTATTTTTTTCCTAATAGCATTGCTAATAAATTTTAATAGGGAAAAAAAAAAAAAAAACTGTGATGGATAAATTGAGGCTCCTAGGCATCAGCCTGGCCTTTGGACACCACCCTACCTAAATAAGCCCAGCACCAGCTCTCATCACTCTTCTCTACATTCATATCCATTCATTTCACAAAGACTGACAGCTTCCACTGTAGTCCAACACTGTGATGCCACAGGGAACTAGACAAACAGAAGTCCCTGTCCTCAGAGGGCTAACTTGTTTCGGTCTCCCCTACCAAAACATGCATCCACCTTGTTTTCCACACTCCCAGCTCCTAGGGCAGCCTGGGTACATGGGTACAACAGACAATAACATCTGTCAAAGAATCCCACTCACGACATCCCCTGCAACAGCTCAGGCACTGATTGGGTCAAACAATTCACCAAACTGATTTGTTCCCAGGCAGAGTTCTTTATGGTACGGTGACTCAGTGCTATCCTGCAAATGGCCATTATATAAAAGATTTAAATAAAATCTCTGACATTTCAGTATTTTTTAAACACTGAGTTCATTTTTCTGTGCCCAAAAACTCAGTACAAGATAGCCACAATGCTACAGCAAGCAGCAAATGCTCATTCAAACAAACTGGACTTAAAATAGATTTTTATTTGCAAAATTAAAAAAACAAAAACTAATCAGAATTGTGTTCCTTCTTCTTTCTTCTTGTCCCTTTTGAGTAAGTCCCAGACTCTGTTCTCTCTTGGCCATGTTCAGTCTGTTGTGTCATCCACTCCTTTTCAAGCTGCTTCAACATGTCTGGAGTGAGGAGTCCTTGCTGCACCAATCTGGAAGCGAGGGATAGCTCCCCAGCGCTGGCGCCAAGCGGCTCAGCAGCTTTACTCCCTGCAGTTTTGGTGCCACGTGCCCTTCTAGCTTGGCTCTTCAAGGTTCCTGACAAACGTGACTGGCTCCCTGCTAATGAGCTTTCCAGATGCAACAGCTTACGTGTCTCGGAAATTTTAATCAGTTTGGTGATGTTGTGAACACCGTCCTGGATAACACCATCCAGCTCCTTCTGCAGGTCTCGCACAAGGCTGGTATCTGGAAACATGTCCATGAATCGGTAGCTGTGAAAAGGACATGATATATTATAGCAACAGCTCTGGACTAATCTCAGTGGCACACCTACGTTAATTCCAAATGTTTTCTTTTTGCAAACTGTCCAGTATCTTTATTCAACTTCTACTTCTTCTCCAACATACCTGAGGAATATGTCATGATGAAAGTGGGTTGGTATGCTATCTCAAGTAATATTTATATGCTCCCCTAGGGATATATACCCCTCCTTTGAGAAGCCAAGCCCTCTAGAGCACGGATTCTCAAATGTCAAAAATCTACAAGTGAACCACCTGAAGATACTGTTAAACTGCAGAATCTGATTAAGTCTGGGATGGCCCTGAGATTCTTTATTTCTAAAGCTCCCAGGTGATACCAACACTTGTGATCCAAGGACCACTCTTTGAGTAGAAAGGGTCTAGTGGATCTTCTCACTTGGCTGTCTCAATGATAACCACAAAACTCCTGAAGACTTTTTTGGAAGAAATATAAGCCAGGCTCAAGTGCTTTTATTGACAACAAACATAATATAGAGCTTCTTGCAAATATGTGCTGAGTTTGAAACAAAAAACAAACAAAAAACCTCCCACCATTCATAAAACCTTTGATTTGCCCTATTACTTAGAAACAAGAACACATAAAGGAGAAAATTGGTACCTTAGCCACAGGTAAAGATCCAAGACGTCATGGACAGCTTCAAGATCCATGAGGTCTTTAATGTTCTTAGGTGGTTGTAGAGGCCATTTGATGTATCGGCGTAACCATGCAAAGGTCAAAGGCTCATTCCTGCTATACTGCCTGGCAAACTGAGGAATAGTTTGGTAAAAGAATTAGAATTCCCTTAAGTCTATAATTAGAAAAAAGCACAAATATTACCTGTGGTTGTGTTTCAATAGACAGGCTTGTTTCTTTGCTCCTTGATATTTTTTTACTTTTTTTGGTGGTATTGGGTATTGAACCCAGGGCCTTGTGCACACAAGGCAAGCACTCTACCAACTGAGCTATATCCCCAGCCCTGGCTTTTTTTACATTTTTAAAAACATTTAATCTACACACACACACACACATTAAAAAAAAAAAAAAAAAAAAACCTTAGTTCTTTAAATAAAAAAATTAAATTCTTTAAGAAAAAAAAAAAGATGACTTTCACCTTTTTCCAAAGTTAGGGCAATAATGTCTTAATTAAAAGTTATAAAAAGGGGCTTGGTGCAGTGGTGCACACCTGAAATCCAGCAGCTTGGGAGGCTGAGGCAGGAGGATCACAAATTCAAGGCCAGCCTCAGTAACTTAGTGAGGCCCTAAGCAACTCAGAAGAAACGCTATCTCAAAATAAAAAAATTAAAGGGGCTGGGGATGTGGCTCAGTGGTTAAGCAACTCTGGGTTCAATCCTTGGTACAAGAAAAAAAAAAAAGACTTTAAACTCTGGCTTCAAGTCAAAGCTGATTTCAAATAATTCATTTCCTAATTAAGGCAAATTATCTCTCAATGCTTAACCTAAGCAAGGCCAATACTTCAGAGAGGCAGAGCCATTTTAGATTCCTTTGGCTAAAGAATACTCTAATTTTGTTAAATTTAGTCTGGTGCATTCTGCCAATTTTAATAAATGCCAAGTCAGACAGCCATGATGAATGGAAATGTGACCATGCTAACCTGTTAGGACACAACAAGCAGGGGTTCTCAGGCTCTCTTTATAAAGGCAGTGCCCTTAAGAACTCTGGCCACAGAAACTAGTGGAAGTCCAAGTTCAGGGGCTGAGTGGAGAGGGCAGGGAGAGCACTAGTTTTAGTATCTCACTGTCCACTGAGATAATTCCACTTGCAGCCAGCCCTAAAGGAGCTCTGGGGAGAACAGTTTCAAAACCACTGTCCTGAGAGGCATGGGAGGCCATCTATGGGACTGAGCTCTTTATACTTCAGTGATGGTAGAGATCAAGAGCAAAGGGAGGGCTGGGGCTGTAGCTCAGTGGCAAAGCACTTGCCTAGCATGTGTGAGGCACTGGGTTCGATCCTCAGCACCACATAAAAGTTAACAAATAAAATAAAAGCATTCTGTCCATCTACAATACAAAAAAAAATTAAAAAAAAAAAAAAGAGCAAAGGGAAAACTTCTAGATTTCAGAAGTTTTTAAACAGAAAACATATGTGTGTATGTTGACTGTACAGTTCCAGAGATTCCTTACTCCTTAGCAAAGAGCTCCTGCTTTGTTAGAAGAGCTTAAGAGATAGTGCAAATGAGGCTGATGCCAGCTCCATTCAGGTCAGCTTCCTCAGTCTCAGACCGTTCTCTAACCTCTGACCTTGTACTAACTTTCCCCCAAATGCCAGCTCCAGGAAAAATATTTTCTAGGTAAACCCAGACATGGAAGACCTCTAAGACATATTGTTAAGGAAAAAAGGCAATTTGCAGAATAACTTGCTATGATAACATCTATGGGAAACACATCCACAGGACAAAACTAGAATTCCTATGTGCACATGCATGCAGGCAGACGCCACGGAGAAGGTCTGCAGAGACGCACACAAACACATCAAAGCAATCATTTCAGAGAACCGAGAGTGGGAGGTGGCCAAATTTATCCACCTGCAATGTTTTAATGTTATACTAAGAGAAAGTATTATGCATTTTATAATTTAAAATATAAATTTACACCCAGGCACGGTGACACACGCCTATAATCCCAGTGGCTTGGGAGATTGAGGCAGGAGGACCTAGAGTTCAAAGCCAGCCTCAGCAACTTAGTGAGGCCCTAAGGAACTCAGTAGACCCTGTTTCTAAATAAAATACTAAAAAGGGCTGGGGATGTGGCTCAGTGGTTAAGTGCCCCTAGGTTCAATCTCTGGTACCAAAAGAAAAAGAAACCCCCCCACATACATATTTATATTTAGAAATAGATTTGGTTAAAAGAGCTAGTGCACAGAATACAAAGGCCTCTAGAGGAGTTGGCAACGATGAGTCTTCAGAGGAAGAAGAGGCCTCTGTAGGGTTCCCCTGCCCTCGCTGCCCTTTCCCACAAAGTCCTGTGCTCCTCAGAAGTCACAGATTCACATCCCTACACAAACGGGTTAAAAGGAAGGGGGCTGGAACCTAGGCCCCATACTCACACAAGACAACCACCCAGCACAGTGCCTTACAGTTAAGAAAACTGAATATTGTTGCCACTACTGCAATCCCTCTCCCTTTGAAATAGTTACCCCACAACAATAAGGAAAAGGTTTGCCATCAGGCAAAGTGCCTTCCCTCAAAATATATTTTTAAATCATTTTTATTTTAGACTCTTTTTAAATTTTTTTTTTAAATTGTAGATGGACACAACATCTTTATTTTGTTTATTTTTATGTGTGGTGCTAAGGATGGAACCCAATGCCTCATGCATGCAAGGCAAGCGCTCTGCCACTGAGATACAACCCCAGTCTTTGTTTTAGCTTCTTCACAGTGGCTACAATATGAGCCCAAATGTAAGACAAGGGTTCTACCTCCCTCAAAAATTATCTGTAAAGCCAGGCATAGTGGTGCCCACCTGTAATCTCAGCATTTTGGAAGGCTGAGGCAGGAGGACGACAAGCTTGAGGTCAGCCTGGGCAACTTAGTGAGAACTTGTCTCAAAATATGAAGTAAATAAATAAAAAGAGCTAAGGATGTAGCTTTGCAGTAGAGCACCCCCTGGGTTCAATCCCCAATACTGGGGAAAAAAAATTATCTGTGAGAAAAAGAGTCAAGAATATTTAAGTTTTTAGAAAGTCTCTTATATTTATATGGCACTCTCCCAAATGTTTAATTTCAAATAACAAACAATTATTTGGAAAAAAAGGTGTCCATCTTAAACAAGCCAAAATAGCAGACATGAAGGCTCACCTGTAACAATGAGGAGCACACAAAGGGCTGCTTCTTATTGATAGGGGCTGTGCAGAACACGTATCTCACTCGGAGACTTAATGGGATATGCTGGATTAACTCTGCAGAAAACTTAAAATCATCCATATTGCAGACAAAATACTGCCCATCAACTTGTGAGAAGTCTACAAAAATATCCTGGGGGAGGAAAAATATATGAAGTTACTGGACTGCATCAATGGGCAGGAATAAAGTCTATAGAAGACAATGTCTTTAATCCACAAGAGACTTCCAGAAAGGCCTGCTTTATTCACTGCCTCCCGAAGCTAAGAGATCTCCCCCACAGCTTCCCAACCTGAAACTCAGACAGAACATTCCTCAAGAAACTCCCAGAGGATTTTGAAAGAAAGTCTTCATCTACAAGATAAGTTACATGGAGAGCAACTTTACAAAGGCAGACTATCCACCCAGACCCATGAGGTGGACCAGTAACTCTCTAGCATACCACCATTTTTAGATGAGACTTCAAAGTTTCTACTTACGATGAGATTGGAAAGTGTTGTATCAGGGAGGTGGTAAGCAAACATTTCAATCTGTTCAGCAGTTGGATGAAGACCTGCTGCCTTTAGGAAAAGTAAAAAATAAAATAAACGTGAGCTGATTGTTTTGGGTTTTTTTGAAAGGATAAATTTGCTTAAATTATTTCAAATTAAAGTCCTACATTTAGGCTTATCTCTCACCAAAGGAGTTAAATGACAAGAATTTGAGTAAAACAGAAAACAAAAAAATCATCATTTTACTACTTATTACCAATTAGAAAAGTTGATGAGATAATTTAATAAAAATAACAGATAATTCTCATTAAAGAAACAGTCTTGTGCTTTTATTTTAGTCATTTTCCTAAAACCTATTATGAGCTGATGGAGTACCAAAATGCTTTACTGGATAAAAATTTTCCAGGTCTCAATTCTCTCCACTAAATAAAAGTAAAAGAGAAAAACCCAGTTGATTTAACCAGGGCAATAAAAATGATACACACACATACTGAGAGAAAGTTTCTAAACAGGAGGCCAGTTATTTCTTTAACAATATATTGCAGCATTAAGAAATGCCCAAGGTAACTATAAGGGATAAAGAAAGCAAAGACAGAAAGAAAATAGAAAGGAAGGAAGACAGATGGGTCCTGAGGGAGGGAAGAAGAGTCTGAATATAAGAAATAAGGTAACCCAGAGGGAAATGAGGGTGTGTCAAACTTCAGCTGCAGTGGGAGCCCCTATGAACCTAACCACACTCCACTGCAAAAACTATAGAAGTGGTTTCAACCACTGCTTTCCTCCAGGAATTTTTGTCTTGCATTATCTCACATATGTTCCCTTTATCTAGTGTTACTGACAAATTAAATGAGCCACATGTAAGTGAATTTTTCCAGGCAACTTTAAACTAATTTTTAAAAATTAATTTGTTTAAAATGTGTACACTTCTGATTCAATAACTACACTGACCAAAATTTAACACTGTCTTTTCTGGCTTGAATTTGTGATGCTCAGAGCTGTTACTGATCCATACTTCTAGAATCAAACTTCTGGTGATTTTTCAGTTCATTGACATAGATAATGTCACCTGAAGCAACTTTGCCCCTCTCCCCCCACCTGCTGCTATATTTCTAGGAAGAACTAAAGGAAAATCAGGTCAACTAAATTTGTTCAATCTGTATCTTTCACTTGCATACCATTCTCTGAACAAGGGGTCTCTATGTCTCTTCAAAACAATAAAGGAGGGCTTTCTTTCTTTTTTTTTTTTTTAGTTGTAGATGGACAATACCTTTATTTTATTTATTTTTACGTGGTGCTATGGATCGAACCCAGTGCCTTCCCCACGCAAGGCGAGCACTCTACCATTGAGCTACAACCCCAGCCCCAAGGGAGCTTTCTTGATGAGGTTTCAAAGGCACAAAATTTTCTTTTGCTTATTTCTGCTTCCAGGAAGGAGTATGGATGTGGGAGAGGGAAGATATGACTGAACTCCCCACAGAAGCAGTAATTCATGTATTATACCTTACCCTTATGGGATCCACTGGCCTATTCAAAATTTCCTTTAATAAACCGAGGTCCTCGCGATTCATCGTTGTAACCTCTCCTTCTTTGTACTGTGAGCTGAATCTACCAGCTCTGCCGGCAATCTGCAAGGCTTGGGAGGTGGTGATTGGTTCTATTTCTTTCTCTCCCTTCTCATTGATACTGGGCTTTATAAGAGAGTAAAAAATGATTCTCCTTATGCTCCTGAAATAGAAATGAAAGTGATCCCACAGAATGCATAAACAAGCCTCTGTTACTTGATTCTAATTAAGGCCTATTTGCCATTTTGCTGCCATTTAAAAAATGAAGACAGATGTGATGGAGCACACCAGTAATCCCAGCTACTCAGGAGACTGAGGCGGGAGGGTCACAAGTTTGAGGCCAGTCTCCAAATGAAAAATAAAAAGGACTGGGGATGTAGGTTGGTGGTAGAGCAGCCCTGGGTTCAATCACCAGTACCACATACAAAATGAAATTTTTATTAATAAAAATAAATAAACAAGGAAAACAAGTTTGTTGATGGGGTTGGGGTTGTAGCTCAGTCAGTAGTAGAGCAACTGCCTAGCATGTGTGAGGCACTGGGTTCAGTCCCTAGCACCACATAATAATAAACAAAATCAGGTATCATCTCCATTTATAACGAAAAATATTTTTTAAAAAAAGTTTGTTGGTAATTCTTTTTCTTCCTTTCTTTGGGAGATGGGGGTACCGGGGATTGAAAACTCAGGGACACTCAACCACTGAGCCGCATCCCCAGCCTTATTTTGTATTTTATTTAGAGACAGGGTCTCACTGAGTTGCTTAGTGCCTCACCGTTCCTGAGGCTGGCTTTAAATTCGCAATCTTCCTGTCTCAACTTCCGGAGCTGCTGGGATTAAAGGTGTACGCCAAGGTGCCTGGCTTCTTCCTTTCTTTTTTTCAATAGTAACTGCATTATTATTCAATTAAAAAGAATTACCATTCTTTTTTCAATTAGTATGTTCCAACTAAAAATCATCAAACTGTACACTTACAATAGGTGAACTGTATGGTCTATAAAATATACCTTGATAAAACTACAGAAAATGACTTTCTTTTTTTTTTAATATTTATTTTTTAGTTACAGGTGGGCACAATATCTTTATTTTTTATTTTATGTGGTGCTGAGGATCGAACCCAGTGCTTCACACATGCTAGGCAAGTGCTCTACCTCCGAGCCACAACCCCAGCCCAGAGAATGACTTTCTTATAAATAACCCACGGTGTTCTCATACTGCTTTAAAAAGTTAGCTATACCAGGTGTAGTGGTATGTGCCTGTAGTCTCAGCTACTCAGGAGGCTGGGACAAGAGGATTGCTAAAGTCCAAGAAGAGTTTAAGGCCAGTCTGGGCAACACAGTGAGATCCCATCTCAAAAAAAAAAAAAAAGAGCTACTATTAAGAACTATTAATACTTCTTGTATTCTTAAAGGTATATAGGTGCCTTCATTACCTACGGTGGAATATTGTGGCTTAACATTGTTATCACTAGAGAGAATGGCCAGCCCCATATTCAGAATAGGCACTTGGATACCTGCTAGCCAAGAAACTGAAAATAAAGTGAGGTAATGACAGGTTAGCAGAGTAGGGGGCAGCACACCAAAGTCCTAGTACTATATAATATTTTCTTTTTATTCCTTCAATATATATATAAGCAAGATAAAACTCAAATCTATACTGTAATGGCCATTCTTCTAAAGTGAAGTGTTTGGTCATTCATCCCAATTCAAAAATTGAAAACAGGGGCTGGGGCTGTAGCTCAGTGGCACAGAGCTTGCCCACCATGTGTAAGGCACTGGGTTCAATTCTTAGCACCACATAAAAATAAACAAATAAAGGCATTCTGTCCATCTACAACTACAAAAAAATTTCTTTTAATTGAAAACAAAAACAAACACTGCCATCTAATCCACTGAATATCAATGCTTATTAAAAAAAAATTACTTACAAATTAAGTCCCATGCCAATTGCATCTGTAGCGACCAGGATTTTGCACGGATCACTGGGATCATTAAACTTTTTTGCTTGAGCAAGTTTGGTTCCTGCAATAGAACAGTTAGATCAGCACTGTCCAGCCTTACTACATCATGCTAAGCATGCTTAGAAACTCTTGCCCCTGCTCTATTTTTATGAATAAAATTTTTATCATTTCAAAATTTCTTTCTTTATAACCTCAAAGAGTCACTATCCTTTACCTCCATTCCTTTAAGTTGCCCCTCATGCAGCAATGCACTTCCCCAGCATACTAATCTTATTCTGAGGATTCTTATTAGATTTCAGGACAATAATTTGAAGGGAATTACTGGGTCCATATTTTAAGACATTTTGTAAAAAAATCATAAACTCACCATTTAAAATATAGTCTATGATAACAGCAGCAAATTATAAGAGCTATAAGTAATTAAATACTCCTACTTCCCACAAGGTTAACTAGAAAAAATATTTATTCCATACGATCTATAAAAAATTACCAATAAACCAAATGGCTTACTTCAATTTTTTTACTATGTTTTCTATACATATTTTAACATATTTGGCAAAAATTTAAAATTTCATATCTTATCACAACAAAAGCCAATAATTACCAGGTGGGAGACTGCCATATATAACAGCTGATTCCAATCCTCGAATTTCAATCTGCCGACTCACAGAATAAATATCATTCTTGCTAAAACAGACAACACAGTCCCCAGGCCGAAGGTTGTCTAAAGATTCCAATGCATGATCCAGCACAGAAATGGGGGTAAGCCTCTTATAGTTTCGAACCTACAATAAAGACATATAGTGGTAAAATAACATATCCAACACAACTTCCTCTAATAAATTAAAAACTTGCCAAGCAATCAACAGTAGCTAAAAACTGATAAGTACCAACGTTTTTCAAGGGAAAAAGGAAAGGATTCACTTCAACATTATAAGTGTTACCATCAGCTCTCATTGGCATTTCTAGACTAATAGAATATCATACAGTGTTCCATACATTTTCAAAGCATTTTCACATATATTGATTTTCATGGAAACATGGCAACTTCAGAAGAATTAATTGTTATTTCCATTTCATGAACGAGTAAAATAGAGCCCAATAAAAGACTGAGTCAGAGCTTTTTCCAATTCTAACTATGATCTGCCTCCAAATGCAAAGGTAAAAAAAGCAACACTCAGAATGGAATCCAGAATTTCTTCCACTACTTTCCAGAATGTCTCCCTGAAATTGAGCATAAAACTAAAACAATGGCCAATTAAAAATATTTCTTCATCTTATTATAAAACTCAGGTAAAGAAAAAGAAAAGTAGGAGTTAGAAGGAACCAATTACTTCCTACTCTAGGAATTTGCAAAAGGGATACAAAAGTCCTAATTTACTTATTCTAAACTGATATGCTCAAATCCCAAAGAATTTTGTGAAGATGAAGAATCACCCAGGCCTTGGGTTTGATCTCCAGCATTGGGGGGAAAAAAAAAGAATGCCTCTTATTCTTGGAAGACTCAGGATGCAATTGCTACTCTGTCAGAACTTCACACTTCACATCATGAGGTTCAACCAAATATATGAGCTAGTCAACTATTTAAAAAAAAAAAAAAATGAAGTTTTCTTTTTAGTTAGGTTCTAATTTTGCCACTGCCTAGGGTCTAAAGCCACTGTATAGTTACTCTTAGCTATTTGCTTTGCCACTTGAAAATGAAATATATAATGTAGTACCTCCACTTCCTCCCCAGTTGTATACATAAGCTCAGTGACCAGATCGATAGCAGCAGATTCTCCACATAAATGGATTTCTTCAGCACACAGTCCTGTAAATGCACAATTGGGATTTTTTAAAAAAGACTTATAATTAAGTATATAACATTCGCAAAACAAAAATACTTTACCTTTATTAGCTACCTATTATTTTACAAGTCTATCAAATGTTTTCAGCAATGTCTCTTTGATGCAAATGTCAAACCACCACTGCCTTCTAATGGGCTAAGATCATCCCTGTTTTTCTAAATCTCAAAGTTCTAAAGCTGCTCTGACCAAGGTTTCAAGTCTATCAGGGTGAAGTCAGCCAGGACTGGAACGTGGCATCCTGATGCTTAGGGCTCAACATTAGTCCTACACTTGTGTTTTTCAAATTAGGCTCCATGGAATCACAGAGGTTAGGAGCTGGAGGGCAAAAGAAAGTCCAAGTTGCTTACCCCTGGCCAGATCCATTTCCACCTGTTTTATTATAGGCCTAATGCATCAGTATTATTTACAGAAAGAGTTCAGTTATTTGTTTTTAAATTTGAAAATACCTGCCCTACAACATGCTGATCAAAAATTTACTCCAAAAGCAAGTAGCAGAATAATCATTCACATCGGACATCAAGAATTCCATATTACCAGGACCCTACCCTAAATGAATAAATAAAAAATAAAAAGCCACGGCCACAAGATTTTTACTTCAGCATCATCAATAATAGGAAAAAATGTTCCAACTCTGCCATCTTGTGATGTACATCAGTAATCCCAGTGACTGGAAGCTAAAACAGGGGGTTACAAATTCAAAGCCATGCTCAGCAACTTACGAAGTCCATAAATAACTTAGCAAAACCCTGTCTCAAAAAATAAAATGGCCTGGGGATGTGACTCAGTGGTTAAAATGCCTTTAGATTCAATCCCTGGTACCAAAAAAAAAGTTCAGCTTTAAAGAACAAATTCTGGTACAGCTCTTCAATGGAGGAGATGCAGTTATATTAACAATATGAAAAAATGGCCATGAAATAACAGAACTGAAAAAGAGAAAGATACAAAATTAAATATTCTGAAAATACCACACACATAAGAAAAAGAAATGGCACAAAATATTAATAGTGATTGTGTAAATGTGGTAAGACTTGAACTTTTTTTTTTTGCCTTGGGGTACTGCAAATTGAACCCAGGGCTCTGTGCATACTAGGCAAGCGCTCCTCCACTGAGCTACATCCCCAGCCAAGAGACTTAAACATTTTGACTTTAATTACACAGCTATACCTATTTTGTAATAGTAAAAGTAGATTTCCCATTATTGAAATAGTATTTCAAAATTCAAAAACTCACACTTCACTGACTTTTATAGAAGACTTTTGTCAGAAAAAGGGGATCTAACAGACTACTTGGCAATGACAAGCAGATATACAAATAGTGCAGATGTCATAAAGCCCAGGCTTGATGCACTAAGACCACCAACCTAGAAGTGCTCTGGTCCAGGCCCATCCTCTGGCTGGATCTCGAATCATCTGAATTTCATCAATTACAGCCACTTCATCTTAAAATGAAAAAGTTATCATGAGCAATACAATCTACTTAAATAGTATTATAAACAAATCCAACATCAAAATTCAAGCTTTCATCACTACCACCATCACCATCATCCTTCATTATGGGTCTCTTGGGCTGGCTTGTACCAAGAATTTTATAATTGTATTTCATTTAATTCTCAAAACAACTCTAGGAAGTTAAGTACTTCCATTATCTCCATTTGACAAAAGAGTAAACTGAGGCCCAGAGAAGTTAAGTACTTGCCCAAAGTTAGACAGTAAGTGAAATCCAAACTTAGGTCATCTCGCTCTGAAGATCATACTCTTAACCACTGGAAGACACCATTCTCTGTAGTAAGCAGTTCCATTTACCTTATTTTCACCAGCCTCAGAGACTGCCTTGAGAATCTGCCTAAAAAGAACCACCATGGGCTGAGGTTGTGGCTCAGTGGCAGAGCACTTGCCTAGCACATGTGAGGCAGTGGGTTCAATCCTCAGCACCACATTAAAAAAACTTACTGTGCCCATCTGACAACTACAACAAAAACAACAACAAAAAAAAAACACACCACATTGCTGGGTTCAATGGTGCACACCTGTAATCCCAGCAGCCTGGGACTTGAGGCAGAAGGATCTCACATTCCAGGCCAGCCTCAACAATTTAGCAAGGCCCTAAGCAACTCAGCAAGACGCTGTCTCTAAATAAAATATGAAAAAGGGATGGGGATGTTGGCTTAATGGTTAAGTGTCCCTGAGTTCAATCAAAGGTTACACCCCGCAAAAAAAAAAGGTGGGACTAGGTTTGATGGCGCATGCCTGTAATCCCAGCTACTCAGGAGGCTGAGGCAAGAGGATCCTAAGTCCAAGGCAACCTCAGCAGCTTAGCAAGATATGTCTCAAAATAAAAAGCATTGGGGATAGCACAGCAGTAAAGTGCCCCTGAGTTCAATCCCTAATACCAAATAAAATAAAATGCAAAAACACCCAAACATACATAAAAGAAAAAAGGGAACTAACTTCTATAAGTAAGCATGACAATATTTGGTACTTATTACTAGTGGCAGGTAGCATTTGTTGTACTATTCTTTTTCCAGATATGGAATGTTTTTTCACAACAAGAATCATATTTAAGGGCTGTGGCTGCAGCTCAGTGGCAGGGTGCTTGCCTAGCATGTGTGAGGCACTGGGTTCGATCCTTAGTACCACATAAAAATAAACAAATAAAGGCATTCTCTCCATCTTCAACTACAGAAATTTTTTTAATTAAAAAAATCATATTTCACAAGTACAACCATATTTTAAAATAAAAAATACCAAGTCATAGTTTTTCAATGGTGTTTACATACATGGTGTGGTGACACTGCACATCTCAACAGTACAAGCAACATGGGCAGCCTGTTTCCCATCTGCTTCAACTGTCACACGCTCTTCACCTGTCACCAAGTCACATGGCACACCCTGAAATGACAGAAAGAAACCCAGTCGTATTTCTACCTTGAAAACAACAGCAAAAAGTAGTTTTGTGTGTCTATTCTCTTCATTACCAAGGAATTTATTTAACAGCTGAAATAGAAGTATTCCCAATGCCTTTTTCTTTTCTTTTTTATAGAAAATGAAATAAGAGCTACTTTCTTATATAACTTAGGTAAAACTGGAAATATCTCCAACCAGTTAAATCCTTAATAAGAACATGAGAAACTAAAGCACATTCATTTTTAAAAAATTTATATATATATATATATATATATATATATATATATATATACAGTTGTTGATGGACCTTTACTCTATTTATTTATTTATATGAGATGCTGAGAATCAAACTCATGCCAGGCAAGCACTCTATCACTGAGCCACAAACCCAGCCCACAGTTTAACTTTTTAACTTTGTTTCTGTACTATCGGAGTTGTTAAAATGAACATGATTGTTTCTATACTCAAGAATACTAAATGGGGGCTGGGGATGTGGCTCAAGCGGTAGCACACTCGCCTGGCATGCGTGCAGCCCGGGTTCGATCCTCAGCACCACATACAAACAAAGATGTTGTGTCCGCCAATAACTAAAAATAAATAAATAAATAAATATTAAAAAATTGAAAAAAAAAAAAAAAGAATACTAAAAATTAGCTGGGTGTGGTGGCACATGCCTGTAATCCCAGTGACTGGGTAGGCTGAGGCAGGAGAATCATGAATTAAAAGCCAGCTTCAACAACTTAGCAAGGCCCTAAGTAACTTAGCAAAATCCTGTCTCAAAATTAAAAATAAAAAAAGGCTAGGAAGCCAGGCACAGTGGCGCACACCTGTAATCCCAGTGATAGGGAGGCTGAGGCAAGAGGATCACAAGTTCAAAGGCAGCCTCAGCAACATCAAGATGCTAAGCAACTCAGTGAGATCCTGTCTCTAAATAAAATAAAATAGGGCTGGGGATGTGGCTCAGTAGATCACTGCCCTTTGAGTTCAATCCCAGGTACCAAAAAACTGGCTAGGGATGTGGCTCAGTGGTTAGGTGCCCCTGGGTTCAATCCCTGTAACAACAACAAAATATATATATATTTTTTTCCTAAAAATAAAAAAATTATAAAGAATATTAAAAATAAAATTTAAGACTGTAACGACCTCCTAATATACTTCCTTGAGAAGGAAATACCAATGCTGTGGTATAAGAGAGTGCTCAAACAACTGGCTTGCCCTCTACTGAGGGGTTCCCCAGAACAAAGGACTTTGAGTAAAGTTCAGTCAAACCTGGAGGGTTGGTCACCACCCCTAAGTGATCTGAGTCTAATTATAAGAGAATATCAGACAGATACAAACTAAGCAACAGTTTGCAACAAAACTGACCCGTCGTCTTCTAAAAGTACAAAAGTTATAAAAACAAAGGAAGACAAAGGAATTATCCCTGATTAATGGAAACTAGAGACAATTTAGAACAGTGGGAAACCTCAAATGGAGTCCTGGATGGGAGTGACAGGGTGCTACTGGACAACTGACAGATTCTGAATATGGACTGTATATTAAATAATAGTATTCTATCATATTAAATGATTTATCCTGCTTCAGATAAATATCCTGTGGTTATATTAAAAAAAAGTTTTTGTTCTGAGTAAATACGTTTTCAAATATTTATGGATAGAAGAATTATGTACCCAAATCATTAAAAAAAAATACAAATTACCTAACCAAAACTGGTTAATCTCTCATTGTAAAGTTTTAATAAAATAATGAGTCAAAATGTGACCCATTTAGTGAAATGATGTCTCAGTGATTACAGGGTTTAGTCCTTTCAGTTTTGAACAAGTAGTTTCAGCCAGTTGTGGCGGTGCAAACCTATAATTGCAGTGACTCAGGAGGCTGAGGCAGGAGAATTGAAAGTTTGAGGCCAGCCTCAGCAATACTTAGTAAGGCCCTAAGCTACTTAGTGAGATCCTGTATCAAAATAAAAAATAAAAAGGACTAGGGATATGCTCAGTGATTAAGTTTCCCTAGGTTTAATCCTCAGTACCAAATAAATAAATAAATAGATGAAGCAAGCTGGGATCTGACAGCTTGAATTCAAGGTTATTTATATGCCACTCTGCATTTCTCTCTAGGCATAAAATATTCTACAATGTTTTATTCATTCCTTCTAAAGTGTTCACTTTTCTACATTTTACTATCTCTAATATCAGGATGCATATTAAGCACTGAGAGCATGCCAGAGCTCAATTAGCAGCATCTTCTCCTTTCTTTTGTTTTCTTCTTTTTTGGTACCACAGATTGAACTCAGAGGTACTTAACCACTGAGCCACATCCCAGCCCGTTTATGTTTTATTCTGAGACAGAGTCTCTTTAAGTTGCTTAGGGCCTCACTCAGTTGTTGAGGCTAGCCTCAAATGTGAGATCCTCCTGCCTCAGCCTCTTGAGCTACTGGGATTACAGGTATATACTGCCACACTGAGCATCTTTTCTTTCTTAATTACACATATAATAATGGCACCTCTTACAATCAATAGTTTCCTAGATGCAAAGAAATAAGGTATAATTTGTTACTAGTAAACTACTATATCTTTCTTTTCCCCTTGTCCAACTTCAACCCCAAAAGAAAATGGAACAAGAAAAAAAGAGCAAATATTTGGTGATATACTGACAGCAGCATTACTCTTTTCAAAGATCTCATGTGCCAGTAATTTCAAGGGGCCACAATATACTCCAGATTTTGCTGACAAGTATTTCTGAATTGCATGGTAAGTTTTTCCACTGTTTGTGGGGCCCGAATGGAATATTATCTTCCGCCGTATGGCTCTGGCTTCTGAGTACCTAAAACATGAATGGGTAAACAGTTTAATTTTATTAACCCCAAAATCCACCCTAGCAAAGATACCAACTGAAAAAAAAATTTTTTAATTTAAATAAATAAATAGATAACACCCCACAAAAACATCCTCCTAACATTCACAGATATTTTGAAAAATTAAGTAATTGGTTTCATATGCACATTCAAATAATTACCGATTTCCAAGAACAGTGTTAACTAAACGGAGGACAAAAAACCCCCAATACAAATTAATGTCTTGGGTATTTTCCCCACTGCATAAACCTCTTTTCTTCCAGAGTTACTAAATTTAAATTGCTATTTGCTCCACAGATATGTTCACATCATTCCCACAGCTCTAAATATGTGAACCTAAAAGCAAACATTCCCAGGTCTCTGAATTCAATATAAACTATTATAATAACTGAGCCTCCTGCTTCTGGTCCTGATGGCTGCCTGGTAGTGAGTGGACTTGTGCTGTCTCTATAAGCAAATACAAAACTGGGCAAAATATATGCAGCAACTATTTACAAATGTGTGGAACAGGTGCAACCCCTGAAAGGGGGGGACACTGGAGATGATCGAAGCAGGGCACAGGGAGGTGGACCCCGAGCAGAGTAAGAAAGTCCCACAGAACAGAGCATAGAAGTCAATGCAGAGCTGCGGAAGCACCTAGAATCTGAAGGGCAGAATGTGGAAGAGCAGAAAGGGTGAAGGAAGTAGGGAGCCCTGAAGTTTCTGCAATGGTTTCATGTGGGTCCTTGGCCACAGCCTGGCTGAAGGTAAGAATTGGCAGGGCCTTCAAGCTTAGCAAGGGTCTGAGCAGAAAGCTTCTGAGAGGTCTTGAAGTGCTAGAAGATGCTGCTGTTCCACCCACAGGGGAGAAAATTCAGTATTAACACCCTGGCATTCAGCTGACTCCAGGAAGGCCACAGCTCAGATGCAAGGCTAACACCCTACTCAAGCTGCTTCAGTTCTGCCCTAGGAAAATACAAGCCCACGCTTGAACAGGATCAAGGGGAAACAGCCTAACAGAATGAACAGTACTGTTCAGACTCCTTATAATTTGCCACCTAGCATATGTTACAAAAACACATAATAATAGTCTTCCCAAATTAGAAACAGAAAATTTCAAATGAAGGACTAACCAGTTCGGTGGTAATCTCAAGTCACTGATCTTACGTAGATCATCCTTACATTCCAACACAGGAAATATTTGTTTGGCATGTCTCAAGAAAAATGGAAATAAATCATCCACATGAGCTAGAAAATAAAACACAGATTAACATGGGCAATCTGGGGCTGGGGTGTGGCTCAGAGGTAGAGGGCTCTCCTAGCATGCGTGAGGCACTGGGTTTGATACTTAGCACCACGTAAATATAAAGATATTGTGTCCACCTATAACTAAGAAAAAAAGTTTTTTTAAAAAATGGGCAATCTACTTGCTATCTACAACCAAAAGAAGCAAAATCTTTTTTCTTATTGAGGTAAATTAGGGGAGCATGGCCAAGATAAGAGAATCCTAAAAGAGGAGACCCCATCCTTTTCTAGAACTTTCTTTTTCTTATTTTTTCATCCAAATTCCACTTATATTTTTAGGAAAAAAAAAAGAAAAGTAGCTGCCAACAACTACATTCTACTATCCCAGTATAACTGGCAAAGATTAGCACTGTTCTTTTTTCTTAATTTAACAAGAATAAAGAATGGTATTGCCAGCCTATAATCTCAGCAGCTCAGGAGGCTGAGGCAGGAGGATCTCAAATTCAAAGCCAGTCTTAGCAAATTCAAAGCCAGTCTCAGCAACTTAGCAAGGCCCTGTCTCAAAACAAAGAAGGGGTGGGGGAATGTAGCTCAGTGGTTGAGTGTCCCTGGGTAGTTCAATCCCTGGTACAAAAAGATAAATATATAAAACTATATAAATATTATATAGATAGATAGATGGATCCCAATGGAATATTATCCATTTTATTTTATACGTGTGTGTGTGTGTGTGTGTGTGTGTAAAACTAGCCAGATATGGTGGCACATGCCTATAAGCCCAGATAGTTGGGAGGCTGAGGCAAAAGGATTGCAAATTCAAGGTCAGCCAGAGCAACTTGGTGAGACTCTACCTCACAATAAAATGAAAAGGGCTGGAGATGTATCTCAGTGGTAGAGCCCTTGCCCGGCATGCACAAAGCCCTGAGTTTAATACAAAGCACCACCAAATAATAATAATATGTAAGTATTTATATAATTCCATATATGGAATAAAATGATGTTCTTACTTTTTGTTTTTTCTTTTATAGCAAGAACTTTATCCTGACATGATGGAGAAATAAGCCAGTGGCAGAAACAGGTAGAATATGCTATGAACTAATCCTATCTTGTGTGAGAGCTCATTCCATTGTGGCCCATGTTAATACACAGCAGAAAGAAGATGACAGATCAAGGTCCCAGTCTAAGACATTCTCATGACTAGCTGAGGGACCCAATATAAAAGCCAAGTGATTACAAAACTTCCTATCCAAGCATTGAAATATTTACAAAGGATATTACCAAGACATATTCTAAAACAAATAAGCCATGCTAGAGAAATAAACATGAAGTATGGAATAAACAGAAAGTACATTCAAGAGAATTTTCAAAATTCTCTCAAGACTTGCCTGCACTGAAGCAAATGTCATTCAGAACAATGTGAATGTCCACATCCAGGGAATGAGATTGCATAATATAATTTCTAAAGCTTATGAAAGCTTGGTGGAAGAGACGAGCTGCAGAAAACAAAATCAAAATATGTAAGGCTTAGTTTTCATTTCAGTTCTCCTTTCAAAAGCACAAAATGCACCACACCAAATTCAAAGTATCTCTATATTTTTGCTATGTGGATAATTCAGCTGGTTTAATTTGATCTAGGCTAAAGCTGAAAAACTAGCACAACAGGAAGGAAAGGTGCCCAGGCAGCTCCTATGCTGTGTGGTCTGGCTCAACAGGTGAGCCTTGCCAGCCTCCTGCCCTCGAAGAAGCAATGGTCAGAGGCTTGTCTCCAGACCACAACTGTACTCCTACTTTCAGGGCATAAGAGGTCCCATAGAACACTGAAAAAGCTATACAAAGCTACACAAAGTAATACTACATCTCTATAAAGATATTATATGTCTTACCATCAAGTCCATAATCAGCACCCAGTTTCTGAATTTCTTTCCTCTTATAAAACTTATCTAAGATCTTCTTTACTTCGTCTAGAAGAAAGACATAAAAATTCAACATTCATTTCATATTTTAGAGAAATGACCAAATGGCAGAAGAAACTTGAAATCATGATACGTAAGAAGTTGAAGATTTTAGTTGATCCTCTTTATGGGTTAATATGCAATGAAATATCTAGAAAAAAATAATAGTCAAATCAGGCAATATTCCTGTTATACTGCAGAGGAAATGGGCAAGGTGTAATGGGCTCAGAACTAGGTTCTAATTTTTATCAAGCCATTTTTAGATAACCATGCCATTTCATTTACTTACAACCATTCTGCATATTAATAGTAAACAGGGGTCTGGGGTTGTAGCTCAGTGGTAGAGCACTTGCCTCCAACATGTAAGTACTGGGTTTGATCCTCAGCACCACATAAAAATAAACAAACAAAATAAAGATATTGTGTCCATGTATAACAACAAACAGTAAACAGCTAAAATAAATGCAGAAAAGACAACCAATTTGGCAAGGATCAGATCATCATGCTTTTATGCAAAAGACTAAAGAACTGGGATGATCTTTAGTTTGAAGATGATGATTTTATGAAGAACACATTCCTCTCATTTTGTTCTAGATGGCATAAGTTAACTCAGCGGGAGGTAAAGGAAGCTGATTTCAATGGAATTTACATAAGAACTTCCTAATAATTAGAATAATTTTTCAGACCCAAAATCACAAACATAGACACTTTATTAATTTCCTCTACAAGAGACAAAAACATCAATCTTTTGACTGAATGTCAGGTCCCTGGAAAAGCCAAACAGATTCCAGGAAGGAAAATGAAAATTAAATACTTAAAAGGTACTATAATACCACCTAAAATCTATGACCACGGTAGGCTAAGGAAGGTTAAGCAAATTATCTAATACGAATGTTAACAATTATATAGCACGAAGCAGGTTTGTGTTCCTGAAGACTATGGTACAATAATTGTTTGGGCCCAAGAGGATATTTGGCCAGGAAAAGGTCAAGATGGCTAAAGGCAAAGCCATAGAAAGGAATAGATACAAAGGGGAATCCAAATTACATGGTTAAGCAGATGATGATGAATCAGACTTCTTTCTCCAAAGAAACATTTGCTGCACTGTGCTACCTTCTCCCGCCCTCAGGATCCCACCAAACAGTTTTTCAGGCTGAGCTGCCTGCCCCTGCCTTACAGGGTGCTTGCTCAGCTATAAAGAACAGGTTTGGGGTTGCCCAGGATCCTTGCTTTTAATTTAGCATAGACCTTGGAGAACTAGCTGCTTCATTGCTAACTGTTCTGACAAAGAAAATCGCCAAGAGCAATCACATGCAAAGTCTCAGCATCCCCAACCATTCAAACTGGCTTACTCAACACCCTCAGAAGTATGAAATCTTGCAGCAGCTGAACTCTAGTTAAAGCTGCAAGGTTCACAAAATCATTTAAGGAAAATGAAATTCCAGCAGTTGATCTCCATCTGTCTTTCTCCAATTTATAATAAACCCCCATTTACATGATGTGGGATGTAGAAATCTATAGCGGAACAAGCTGGGTCTTCTGCGAATTTGTCATCAAATGCCAAGGAAAAAAAACAAGGAGCGGGGTTTGTTTTTACTTTTAAAAATGCCTCAAAATAAATAAATAAAAATGTCTCAAAACTTATTCTATTATAAAGGGACAAAGCTGAACAGTAGGAAAGAATTCCCCATTAAGAGCTCTCCTGATGGCTTCTGCAAGAATCATAGAGATGTCAATCACCTGTAATTTGGAGCAATGCTTCACCTTGACCTCCCGGGGTATGGTATGAGTAATCACTACTGCTTCAAAACTTGCACTGTGATGCGAGAAATGACTGGGCCAGAAAAGATTCCATGAGTCAAGACAAACTCTGGTGGCTCCAGCTGAGAAGTTTGTCAGCCACAAGGCAAACTGTGCCACAAGTGTCAGTCATGTCATCCACAAGGATAGCCACTGGAGTCTTCATTCCCACCGACTAGCACCATGCAGTCCACATCACTGGCCTTCTGTTGCTAGTGAATCTAGACAAAGTCCACATTCAACCAGTCTGCAAGGTCACACTCTTGGCTCCATCAGCATCAGGTGACACAATAGGGCAGTTCCTCCACTCAGATATTCTCCCTAATTCAATTCAGGATACCCAGCTCTGCATACAAATTGTCCACTGGGATATTTAAAAAGCCCTAAATTTGAGAAGCATGAAGATCCATGGTGATAATATGACCTGCACCAGCTACAGACAGCATATTTTCGACAAGCTTGGCTGAGAGTGGAGCCTGCTTCTTGTCCTCCTTATCGTGCCAGTCATCAGGGAAACATGGGATGACTGCAGCAACTGAGCTGACTGAAGTGATCTTGCAGGCATTAACCATGATCAAAAGCTCCACTAGATTGTCAAGGATTTCAACATGATACTCTGAACGTAGACATCTTCTCCACTTATACTTTCACCAATTTCCACACAGGTCCCCCTGGTTGCTGAATTTCTTAGTCACCACCTTGCCTAGCTCCAGGCCCAGGGGGTCAGCAATTTTCTGGGATTAGTCCCAATGGGAGGTGGCGCTGAAGATTTTGATATTCAGCATTTTGGGTAACTATCCTAGGCACTCTTCACTCAGCGATCACTGTTGCTGCAAAGACCAGAAGTGAGCCCCACAGACTTAATACTATCCACCTTGCATTGCTTCTCTGCCATCTGACATTCCACCTGGCTCTAAATTACCCAGGGTCGGGGAGGCAGGATCAGTGGGGAAGCCCATATCCCATCCACCTGAATTAGCTGAGCCTGGGGCCTAGAACAATTTTAAAAAGGGGTTGCCTCACAATAATGAAAGTTCCTTGTAGCTCTGGGTTCCATCCCCAGTACTGCAAAAAAAAAAAAAAGTAACAGAAATTTCTGTGACACCAGGGAGGTTGAATTAGACACCTGTCTGGGTGACATACCACTATGAATAAATAATTTACCCTGAACCCAAGGGCACTCCACAATTAAGCCACATCCCCAGCCCTTTTAAAATTAATTAATGGTACTGGGGATTTAACCCAGGGACAATTTACCACTCAGTCACATCCTTAGACCTTTTTATTTATTTATGTATTTTAAACTTTTTTTTAAGAGAGAGAGAGAGAAAGAGAATTTTAATATTTATTTTTTTAGTTTTCAGCAAACACAATATCTTTGTTTGTATGTGGTGCTGAGGATCGAACCCGGGCCGCACGCATGCCAGGTGAGTTCGCTACTACTTGAGCCACATCCCCAGCCCTAGACCTTTTTATTTTGAGACAGAGATTCACTAAGTTGCTGAGGCTGGCACTGATTCTCCTGTCTCATTCTCTCAAGTCAATGGGATTACAAGCATGCTGTGCACTGGCCTATTTTTACATTCTGAGGCAGGGTCTCACTAAGAGAAGAGACCCTGTGATCTTTCTGCCTTGGCTTGCAGAGTAGCTGGGACTACAGGCATACACCACAATGCCTGGCTAAATCAATAATTTGATAGGAGAAAATATTTTAAATTTATTACACTGAGATTGTATTAAGGTCATACATGTTAAAATACTATCGTATCATTCTGTAGAGATAAACATTTTATTGACCCAGTCACACACTACACATTTCTGAGAAAGGCCAAAAGTGAGGATGGTTTCCTGCCCATGAAACACAGGCCAAGTGGCCTGTATTTTTACCTCCCAGAAAAGTACCAACCAGATTTTCATGCAGTCATGACATACTCAACACTCACTGAAATTAAGCCTGAACACAGCATCCTACTAACAGAACTGTATTTTATATAATAGAATTTCAAAATTGCTGGTCTAGCCACTAGATTTGCCCACACCTAAATATAAGATCCACAGATACATGTACACACATGTACACACTCATTCCCTGGAGTGGATCACAGGCAAGTATCATGGTATTTCTGGGCTTCTGTTTCTTTGTATCTAGTGGGGGCAACAGTTTCTTTGTGGGGGGAAAAAAAAAAATCAGTGACCAAAAAAAAAAAAAAAAAAACGGTTAGAAAAAAGCATATGAAATTGCATGAAAAAATTCTGCTAACCTATAAACTACAGATGGAGCAAATCTATTTTCTGAGACTAATATGAAGTATTATGTTATGATCCAGATACATATCCAAAGGAATTTAAATCAGCACGCAAAGACATATTTGTGCTTCCATGTTCACTGAAGTACCATTTGCAACAGTTAAGCTATGGAAGCAATCTAGGTGCCTATACCTATTTTATATGTGGAACATATTTATATATACAAACATATCAAAACATCACATTGGGGCTGGGGATGTGGCTCAAGCGGTAGCGTGCTCACCTGGCATGCGCGGGGCGCTGGGTTCAATCCTCAGCACCACATAAAAATAAAATAAAGATGTTGTGTCCACCGAAAACTAAAAAATAAATATTAAAAAATTCTTTCTCTCTCTCTCTCTCAATAAAACAAACAACAAAAAACATCCCATTGTACATAACTATATACAACTATTTATATTTATGTACATAAGTGTGTGTGTGTGTGTGTGTGTATATATATATATATATACATATATAGTTGTATATAGTCATATAGCTTTATGTAGTTATATAAACATATATGTGTAAATACACACACACACATATGACAAACATTATTCAGCCCTAAAAATGAAATTGTTATTTGAGACAACATGGAAGAATCTGGAGGACATTATACTAAATGCATCACTTATACATGAAACCTAAGAAAGCCAAGCCAGAGAAGTAGAGATGGAGTGGCAGGGTAGGTTGAAGGTGAAAGTGAAGACATTGACCAAAGGGTACAAAATTTCAGACACACAGAAGGAGTAAGTTTGAGCAATCTATTATCCAGACAGGAAACTATAATAAATGTTATTATATGTTTCAAAATTGCTAAGAGTAGATTTTAAATGTCATCACCACACATAAAAAATAAGTGTGGGCCATTTCCTCTCCTGGAAGAGGTCTGCTCCATACCTCTTAGGGTGTCACTTCCATTTCACTAAATAAATCTTTTAGCTTTTCTTTTTAAAAAGTGTGTGAAGAATTTGTTAATTAGCTTGATTTTATCATTCTATGACACAAACATATCAAAATATCACATCATACACCATAACTATAAACAACTATTTCTCAAGTTAAATTCTGACTGGGACTGGAGCTCAGTGGCAGAGTGCTTGTCTAACATGTGTGAGGCACTGGGTTCAATCCTTAGCACAGAATAAAAATAAACAAATAAAATAAAGGCATGATGTCCATCTACAACTACAAAAAAAGTTTTTGTTTTTTTGTTTTTAACTCTGAAGTGAAGGCAGTACAGGGGTACTCAAGCAGAAGCAGTAGTATGTTTCGTACACCTGGAGCAGAGGCACATGTCATACATATGGCTTAAGGATGGAAAGTGGGAGACAATGAAGCTGGGAGAGAGAGGCCAGGTCAGACAGGGTCTTACCAGCCATATTAAGACTTGGGGACTATTTTAAATTACAGACAATGAAAAAATATAATACAATTTTTTTAGCAGAAAAGCAACAGGTTCAATCTTTTTAAAAGAACATTCTGGGGCTGGGATGTAGCTCAGTGGCAAAGCGTCTGCCTTGCATTCGCAAAGCCCTGGGTTCGACCCCCAGTTCTAAAAAAGACAAAAAAAAAGAACCCCACCATAAAAGAACATTCTGATTGCAGGCAGAAAATAGACTAGAAGAAAAATAGACTAGAAGCCAGGCATGGTGGTGCACACCTATAATCCCAGCAGTGTGGGAGACTGAGGCAGGAGGACCGAGAGTTCAAAGCCAGCCTCAGCAACTTAGTGAGGCCCTAGGCAACTCAGTGAGACCCTGTTCTAAACAAAATACAAAAAAGGGCTGGGGATGTGGCTCAGAGGTTAAGGACCCCTGGGTTCAATCCTAGTACCAAAAAAAGAAAATAGAATAGAGAGATCAAAGGTATTCCAGGAGACATGTAAGGAGTTATTTCAATGATCCAGTCCAAGATAGAAGCTAAAAATTTAAGTTGGCTGCAGTGGAGAAGAAGTAAATTGACTCAATATTTATCAGACAGAATCAACAAGACTTGTCAACTGGACCTTCTGTTAAATATGGGAGGTGAGGAATGGGAAGAATCAAATCCACCAAGTTGTTTATCTTAGCACCTGGAGCAGGTCTTGAACATGCTAGTATAAGGAGTAAGCAATCTGAATGGAGCCACCTGGTAGGCAGCTATATAAATCGAGGATGAATGAGAGGTCCATGTCGGAGACAATGGTCAGAAGGGAGTACTGATTTTAGGGGAGAGGAGTACTGATTTTAGGGGAGAGGGAGAAAATGAGACACTTAATAGCAAAAGTATGAAGTATGGCAAAATGATGTGGAACAGAACCTTGAAGTAGTACATCAACTTATCAGATAAGAAGCAGGCAAAAGAGATGGAAATGTATCAATATTTGAATATAAAAAAGTTAGCCAAATTACCTCACACAAATTACTGTATGCCTTCAGTAAATGGGAAATTGTTGTTTAATGGGTTAACTGTTGTCTGAGTTTCAATTTTACAAGATGAAAATGTCCTAGAGGTCATTTTCACATGTGAATGAACTTAACATGACTAAACTATACATATAAGAATTATTAAGATGTTAAATGTTATGTTTTTACAATTTAAAAATAAGCAGAAATAATACAATTACATTATTAAAATTGTTGTTAAAACGATATAGACCCCAACTCCAAGTAAAGTGAAAGGCCTTGCTGAGCACTGGCCTGGTGGTATATGCTTGAAGTCCCAGCTCCAGAGGACTACTGAGCCAACAAGGCAGGAGGATCACTTGAACCCAAAAGTTTGAGGCCTCCTGGGCAACATAATAACACCGTATCAAAAAAAAAAAAAAAGGAAAAGAAAGAAAGAAAAATAACATAGACATGAGGTGCATCATATACTATACTGCTCTGAAAAACAAGATTTGACCCAAAGCATGCTATAATCCATATTTTACTTTTAGTTTTATTTATTTGGTACTGAGGATTGAACGCAGGGTGCTTTACCACTGATCTACATCCCCACCTTTTATAAATTTTGAGTCGTTCTCACTAAGTTGCTGGGGATCTGGCTAAGTTGCTGAGGCTAGTCTCGAACTTGAGATTTTCCTGCCTCAGCCTCCGGAGTCCCTGGGATTACAGTGTGCACCGCATCAAGCTGAAATTTGTATTCTCAAATTACAATAGGGGACGTACTGTTGCTAGTCGGAGTAACTCCCTGAAGACAGTCTGGAAAGCTAGTGCCCGGCAGAGTTGTGGCATCCCCTGGATCTCCTTGGTCAGAGGAAACCTCTCACCTTCTTCATCAGCCAAAAGCCAAAGTGCGGCTATATAACGCTAAACTCCCCTCGAAAATATTTACAGATCTCGCTGTCAAATCCATCCAAAATTAGTTTTGGTGACAAAACCTACTGCCACTCACTGATGCTACACTTTTACTTTCTCTCTGGCTCCTGGATGACTATGGTCCCTCTTTTAGCGAGGACCCCTTTATCAAGCTGTATCTTGTATGACAGCAGATTATCAGAATCTGTCTCGGTCCTCCCTTCACCCACCATGCAGCCCAACACTGCGACCTCGCCCAATGACAAAGAATCCTGAAAGAACTCCGCCTCTGGCTTTTCACTGCCCATCCCACTGCCCCATTTCGAAGGCAACAGTTCTGTGGCAGGGGAGGAACAGAGAAGGACACCCGGCGGGGGACTGAGGGAGCCAAGACGTCCCAATACAAGAGGTTTTAAACCAGTCGGAGACGAGAGAGGTCAAAGGGAAAAAGGTCACTCTGGGCGGACCGTTAAGGATGAATCAGACACAATCCCAAGAGTCAAAG